TGTCTGGTTTTGTTGTTTAATTTTCTAKCTCTTCTCACACTTGGGCTCATTTTGTGTCCAGCTCAGCTGCCACATTTATCCACAAATTTATCCTTTAATCTACTAGAGTATGCTTTATAAATGAAGAAAGTCAGATTTAGCCCAGTTTTTTTCACTTATTATTTATTATCATTGAGGGTTTTTTGTTGTTTTATACTCAGACATTTGCTTCTGAGGGCAGGATGGGATTTGAGCTGTCATCTCTCGGTGAGAAGYTCACAGTACTGCTTCCTCGCCTCGGGCCATTCTGTTCTCCCTGTGCAGGCACTGGTTTTCACCAGGTGCTCCTGTTTCCTCCCAACAAAAACAGGCTTGTTGGTTCATTGATCACTCTAAAATTGTCCCAAGTTGTGAGTGAGAGCGAGAAWGGTTTTTTGTCTCATTTGTCTCTGTGGCCTGTCCAGAGTGTACCCAARCTTGGTAGACCACAAAGACCAGAWCAGTTGGTGCAGCCAAAACAAACACCTTGCATCGTGCCACCGGACCCTCTGACCCAGTGTCTTGCTCAAGGACACGTTTGAAAAGGACMGTTAGGGTTAGGGTTGTAGGATGACTTCCCTGACCACTCGTCCCAGTCYTCCCAGGTCTAGACAGACCCAGACATCCTACCATCCATCATACATCAGTATCTGTGTTGCCATCAACCATAACCTGCTTCTGTGAATGACTCCCGTTAATATTATTTGACAAAACAAAACAAAATAGAGGAAATAACCACAAATGTCCACTACAGATGACATTGAGTAAACTATTGATAACAATGCTAAAATACAGTTAAATAACCGACACAGTGTTTTATGTTTRGTGAAGATACTTACATAAAATATTCCAACAACATTTCAAACCAAAGAAGTAATTGTACTTAGGCTTCCTCTTTCCGTAAAATAGCCTTACACTGACAGACACCATTGTCCTGATGAAGGAAGGGAAGATAAAGCTACCAAAGCCCTGCCCCATCCTATTTGAAAAGCCCTAAATGTCCTCTAGAGTTAATTTAGTAGTATGCAGTGGGTGAGAGATATTTATGCTTACAAATGTCCTCCACAGAGGACAAATTTGAACTACTGSTAGTCAGGAGGACATGGAGAATTGGGTTGRCATGTAGTGCACTTAGAGTGGACCYGTATGGGACAGGCACTACTAGACTCTGCCAAGCCTTCAGAAGTACTGAATACTGAACTGATTTTATTGCTTCACAAAAGAAGCAATTAGAAGCAGACATTAACAACTATTGGGAATAAAATACAATAACCAAAATAAATAAAAAAATAAATAGAAAGCTTTTCCCCACCTTTAAAAAAATAAAATGTGAGTAAAGTTCCTTAGCAGTGTTGCTACCTGGGTAGTGTTGTGTTGTTACCCTAAATGGATTTTCTGGATTGTGAAGCTTCTTCTGTGAAATGATGCACTGGCTTGTCCAGCCTAAGTTTATGGTGAACTACACTGAAATGCAATCAGCAATAGTTAACTGTTAATTATTATTAATTAGTGTTAAGCCAAAAGCATACACTACTAAAAACTAGTGTTGCACATTAATTCAGTATTGATATATACGGCAATCGAAACATTTCAGTACGGRGATAGGACCTTTTAAAACATTCAATTGATGTACGCTACAATATGGTGACCTCCGATGGGATTGGATGACCCTGAGTAGCAGAGAACTTTSAGTTTGTTTTMGACTGCTGTCGAAGAAGCAGCGAGATGAGAGGCACTCTGAGACCTGAGCTGAGGACAGACCAGCTTTCTTCTCTTAAAYCAGGGCTATTCAACTGGTGGCCAAAGTGGGACCAAAGTTCAGCCCGCCAACTGGTTCATTCATCTCTTCAGCCCAAACCCCCGGTTTTCTACTTTATTACGCTAAGTACTTTTAGTTAAACATAAACATGTTTGGTATCTACAGAAACATCAGAATATTGGCTAGAAGCTGGTGAAAAACATTTCTATAAATACTCAAGACAGTTGTTAAATCAACACCTGAGTTAAATTTAACACTGTGTCCAAGTCTATTTGGTCCTTATCGGAATTGGTGTCAAATTTGACTCTTTCCATAGTGTTAAATTTTCAGAGTACAATTCAGCTCTAAACAGAGTTAAAAACTAGATACCACATAGCTGTAACATAATGACCCCCACACGCACAAATGCACCAGAACTCAGAAGTCTTTAATCCTAATAAATGTCATGCTACTGGGTGCATCCCAAAATTGTAGTGGTTTGGGTGGGGGTCTTTTGGGGATTATTTTTTTGGGGGGGGGGCATTGGTTGACCTGATGGATAGCCCCTCATCAGAGCTAAACAACCAAAGAAAATCTGAAGCTCCTATGTTTAATAGTTTTTGAGCAATAACCATTTTTGTATGTCCAGATACCACTTTTCAGATAAATTTGGGGGGTGGGGGGGGGGCACTGATTGTTGGGTCTGATGGATAGAGCTTCATCATGTACAGGTCATCCCTGCTCAAGGAAGAGTTCTTCTGGAGGGCTGTGTCAAAGCCCACAGCACTGGCAAATGTGCAATTATTGAGCAGCATCCTCAGAAGTTACCTTTTTGGGCTACGAATGAAACTGAGCATGACATAACTCTTCCTAACTGTTGTGTAATAGCAGAACTTCACACCCCAGAGCACATCCTTTATCACCTACCTGCCCCAACACTTGGAAGACATTCAGTCCAATGCTGTGCTGCAAGGGATGAGGCCTCTGAACAAACTTTCAAGTCTGACCTAACCTTGAATTTGGTGAGTCTCCTCTTTCAAAAGAATGAAAGGACAAAATATCAAAGAAACTGAGTGAATATGGAGATGCATTTACCCGCTGTGACCTAGCTTTGTCATCATGTACATGTACATGTACATGTATTCAGTGGGTATTACATGTAATTATTCCATAACCTGGTACAAGATCATGTGATGCTGTGGTCATTTTCTTTCATTAAAACAACATGATCACAAACATCACCTTATCTTATGCAGACAATTGCATAATTCCTGGACATAAAACCTGTCAGCACCTGTGCAGTTGTCTCTCTTCCTGCCTTAGCCTGTGTGGTGTAAAATGGCCTGAGCACAGTTCACCACTCAGCAGAGGTCTTTCCTGGTTACTGAATAKSTCCAAARGAAAAGTGTTRYCACTGTCCTTGAGCYGTTCCAKCATGAGTTTCCAAGTGTTGGGGTTCTCATGCTTCTCCAGCATGTTGCTCTTCAATGTTGGCTGGTGTGCGTTGGGTTCTTTGTTGGTCGGACCTCCCCTTGTTGAAATTGTGGCTGGTCCCAGAAGCACGGTACTTGTTAACGTTGTGGAAGACAGTGAGATGGCTCGGAACAATTGTTGCAATTGTACAGTACATTACATGTAKAGTACATTACATGTAATGTTAGTTGGCTGGATTGACTTGTCCACGGCCACTTCACGTGTTTGTTAACCCTTGTTTATGATCCACTCAAAAATGAGATATTTTTGTTTCAACTTTAGGACATGAAAGGGTTAATTATTTAAAAAATGCCTTGGCATGCATGTAAAACACCATCTAAACTTTTAATTTTATGTGACAGATKATATTTTAACCCTCACAATTCCTTGCGCAAAGAACATGAAACTTGTGAATTTCCAACTGTCCCTGCTCACTGGAGCGTGAAGCGTTAACAAAGATTTTGGTGTCATTCGAAGCAGAATGATCCCCTCTACCAAAGGTTACGCCCACATTTTCAAAATTATTATCTATGTTGATTTTATGGCAATTTAGGAAAAAGAACACAGCACTCCAAGAAAAACACCTGCTACCTACAGTAACATGTGGTGGTGGTTCCATCATGCTGTGGGGCTGTGTGACCAGTACAGGCACTGGGAATCTTGTTAAAGTTGAGGGACGCATGGATTCCAACCAATATCAGCAGATTCTGGAGACCAATGTCCAGGAATCAGTGACAAAGCTGAAGCTGCTGAAGCCGGGGCTGCATCTTCCAACAAGACAACCACACTAAACACGGCTCATAATCTAAGGCCTTCATGCAGAGGAACAAGTACAACGTTCTGGAATGACCATCTCAGTCCCCAGACCTGAATATTATTGAAAATCTGTGGTGTCACTTAAAGAGAGCTGTCCATGCTTGGAAACCATCAAACCTGAATGAACTAGATGTTTTGTAAAGAAGAATGGTCTAAAATYCCTTCAGCCACAATCCAGACTCTCATTGGAAGCTGTAGGAAGTGTTTAGAGGCTGTTATTTCTGTGAAAGGAGGATCTGTTAATATTGAGTGAAGGTTTTTTTATAGTGCCCAAATTTATACACCTGCCTAATTTTGTTTAACCAATTATTGCACACTTTCTGTAAATCATATCAACTTCATTTCACTTCTCAAATATCATTTGTGTTTTTCCTCTATATGATATATTTAACTGATTTTTTTTATCCAAACAATCAGTGATTTATAAAGGTAAATCAGGAAAATTAACAAGGGTGCCCAAACCTTCGCACCCCATTGTATCTTGACCCAAAACATTAAAATTTACTTTTAGTTCCTTCTCAGTTCCATTCCAGAACAACCTTAAATTACAAACATTCACTGGTTCATTCGTCAGTGATGAGGTCATTAGTGTTCTGCTTGTTTATTTCTGTTCCCTGCAGCTGAGGAAGCTTCTGCTTCTCTGCCAGAATGAACTGGTCTCACTCAAACTCCCCCTCCACACAGGTGGACACGGTGAACAGTGATACAGGAAGGTTAATTAATCCATGATGCCAGGAAGAATCTGTGATTTTAAATGTGTTAGATCYGATGAGATGAACAGTGTCTGATTCTCATCATCAGCAGATCAGATGGTCAAACAGTTATACAGTAATAGAAACATCTCAGCAAATCTTATTGAGCAGCATAAAAGCAAATGATATAATCATGTTTCCAGTTGGTGTTTAGTGATCACTTTGTTGTATTTTAACAGTGTATGGTGTGACTCCGCCCTCAGGTGTTCCTGGGCCCAAACGGGGAGGTGGAGGAGTACTCTGTGGTTTCCATACAGCAGAAAGCAGCCATCAGCTCTGATCTGATCCTGGACCAGGAAGAGGAGCATCTCTTCATCATGACCAGGAACATGGTGCATACATGACACACTCCCAGTTACTGCTTCACTATCTGCTTCTTCTGTAGGAACAAAGACAAGAGAAACTAGACYTGGGTTTTTACGATGTAAAAACAAGTGTGCATTGCCWTGTAGCATGTCATTGCAGCATGGCTTTGCCTGCAGCATTGGACTTGCAGAATGAACTTTGACCAAGTTCAAATGTGTTTTCTATACCAGCTTGTGCCTGTCACGTCAGCAGGTGTTTGTAATTAAGGTAATTATGTGACAATATGAAGTTGGAAGAGATTTGTTGTTAAAGTTGCATTAGCTGGGTTTTGAACCCTGATCTCCCACATGAAAGTCCATGACATAGACCATTAGACCAATGGAGCTTTGGCAGAAGGTGGTGCCAGGGGTTGGTTTGTATGTGTGCAGAAAGAGGCCACATTGCCAATYCAATTYTTGACACAGAAATGCATAATATTAAAACAATAGAGTAATATTAGGACAATGTTTTAGTAAAATATCAAAACACAATCATATTAGTATTGTAATCACTGAACTACTGAATTTAAATATTATTAAAACTATGGTTCAGTACTGAGTATATACAGCAAGGGGCAGTATTGGGCCAATACAAGGCTCCATTGACTGGCATTATATGATTTTAAACATTAATATTTCAAAAAGTATAAGTTGCACAGGCACCAAAAGGCATAGCCATCATTTGGCACAGGAGCTTTACAGATATAAATTACAATGGCAGCTCTAGGACAAAGTTTGCAGGAGGAGAAGCGTGCTAAAGTGGAGATGACTTGGATGGGAAATGAATCACAATAGTGTGCATTGCATTGGCAATGCACACTGATAAATGACTCTCTTGTTTCTGCCCCAGTTGTTTCATAAAGCTGGGGATTATTGTGACGAACATATTCTCCACTTTCATTGTTGCTCTGCAGAATATGGGCCATCCATTCTGTGTAATCAGATTTTTAGGAGCTTAGTGTGGATGGTCTGCTGAACCAGTCTGATTGTTGTGTCCTGGTTCCAGCTGCAGAAGAGGCCCGTGGCTGAGTGCCAGCAGCACCCAGACTGCCAGTCCTGTGTGCGGGCCCARGACCCCTACTGTGGCTGGTGTGTCCTGGAGGGAAGGTGAGGCCATCCTCAGAGGAGAGGATTAAATACCAGCACTCATTAATCTCATCAAATCAAACCCTAAATCATTTGTGTGACCACTTTTATATTTGATTGCATTTAATTAGGAAAATGCCTGTTTATTCATTTACTGTTAATTACACATCATTGTGTGACTGATGAGCTAATTTAACCATAGTTTCTACACAGCAACAATTTGAGGCTTTCTTTCAAATCTGCTCCTGTCTCTGTCTTTGTGCTCATCAGAACTTTTGAGTAAGGGAGAAAAAATAAAAGCCTCTGTAAAGTTTATTGTTTAAAGTACAAAAAAGCACAGCAGGAGATTTGAACCTGTAGTTTCAAAATAAAGCTCATGATTATTCATCAAATTAAGAGTCTGTCATGGCTTCATAGCTCAGAGTTTTAAATTACCATTACCACCAGGCTGTAGAGAAGAAACTGTGTTGGAACTCCTGATTAGAATATACAGATTATTTATTTATTTTATTTTGGACTTTACTCCTCATTTACCTCAGCTCATTTACCCTCTTTAGATGCTCTCTCTTCTTTCCTGTCGTTCATTTTTCCTGTTTGATTTGCAGGTGTGTGCTGGAGTCTCAGTGCAGTCGTGGGAAGCAGCCGGGGCAGTGGTTGTGGAGTTTCGACATGGATCAGCAGTGTTTGGCTGTTCAAGACCTGAGCCCTTACAACATCAGCAGGGAGGAGAGCAGGATGGTAGGTCTACATCAGTGTTCAGGCACATGCTCACTAACAAAAAACTCATCTGATAGTTTATAATCTACTGTTTGATGGTTGGGAATCCACAAACAACCTGGGTTTTTGGAGTATTTCAGGATGATTATACAGACGTTTCAGGCTGGACACCTCTGGTTTTGTTCCCTTTTAGTCAGCTGGACGGTGATGAGCAGGCCGGGCGGCGCCTCCTCCTGCAGTAAAACCTTTTCCAGTAGGAGGAGGAGTCCCCTGAAGTCATGGACAGCCTGTCAGTGTCACATTTATTGTATCAGTACCAGCTAACAGTCCAAATATGTTACTGTTGGACTGATGAAGTATAAACTCCACCCACCCGGCCGTTTCTTCACCCAGGCTGATAATGGAACACAGCCACTGCTTTAGTTGATGTTTTTATCCACCACTTGACTAAACCAAGTCAGACCACCCCAGCTCCCCCCTCCCCTCTGAGCTTGAGCCTAGTTTTGGGGACACTCGGGAACATTTTCTAACATTGTGTCAACATTAAAGTTCCTGTGACGTCAAATTTTTGTAATACATTTGATTGCATTTTTAGAAAGAGGACATTGATAAAATATTGCAAAAGAAATTTCATGTCGCTGAGATGAGCAGTTGTTGAGATATTTGCCTGTGAAGTAACAGGAAGTGATGTCATAGGGGTGTTGCTACAACAGACTGTAGAAGAGAATCTGATGTTTCTTAAGATTATTTTGAGTCTCTATCAGAGAGATGAAGAGTCAGAGTTCAAATAATATTGTTTCAATAAACAAAGACCAGAGAGTTTTCTTTGTTAATGAGTTCCCCTTTGATGTCACTTCCTGTTTCACTTTGGCTGAGTCAAGTTCAAAAGAAAATATACCAGTTATGAGACAAAATGGATTAAAACGTGTGTATTATTCCAACTTTCTTAAGTATAAAGATGTTTTCTTTGACTTTTTGTATTTGAAGAATATGCATGTCACAGGTACTTTAAGGCAAACCTTAGAAGTGATGATGTTAAAGTCAGACAGCTGCGCTCAGTCCTCTTCAGCACCTCTGAGTGCCCCCCCCCCTCCCCCCGGCTCTGTTCAGGTGGTCGGCTCAGATTTTACTGTCTGAATGGTGAACACAAGGCATGCTGGGAGTGTCACCCATCAGTCTGGAACCAGTCAGGTTTGGATCTCTTTGACCTTTGGTCTGTATTTACTCTTCAGAGGAAACAGACAATTTGTTTTTATTTTAGCAGCTGGTTCTGATGCTGATCCGTTAAGAGTTGTTGGTAAATGTGCCGTGTACATTTTGCAGCCCAGTTTGGACTGAAAGGCTCAGTTTGATGCGGGTCAGTCCTTGGACCACTGGATGGGGTCTCTGTGTGTCTCCACAGTTTGTTTAGTCCAGTCCAGGTTGTGGTCCGGTTAGTGTAGTCACCAACCGTCCAGTTTTCCACCATGTGATCTAACATGGGTCTCAGTGATGTCATCGGTTTACTACAGTTTGTCCCTCCTCAGGTGTCTCTGTCCATCCCAGGACTCCCAGTCTTAGAGAAGGACGAGTCCTACTCCTGCTTCTTCCAGGACAGCCGCAGTCCTGCCACCCTCACTGAAACCGGACTGAGCTGCCAGTCTCCTGACCCCAGTGGTACCCCGCTGGTGCCTCCCGGACAGGGTGAGTCTGGCTCAGTTTGTTTAATATATGATGTAGAGTGATTCTCTGCTCTCTGGGTCTAATGAAGCCACACCTGATGCTGCAGAAGGTTTTTACTGCGTTCAGATATTCAGTTTGTGCACTAAAGGATCTGGCTGCAGCTTGAGCTGCATGAATAACTCTGATAATCTGACCCAATCCTCTTGTTTTTTCATTTTATTCTAATTTATTTTTTATTTTATTTTGTTTGTTTCAATCATCTTATGCAGCGGGTAGTAATCTGTTCTCTAATTTGAACATCTCTACAGATTATTTTCATCCAGGGGTTCTGGGTGGACTGTAGTGTTCTCACTGAACTGAGAGCAACATCTGTGAGTAAATGACCCTGAAGCCCCAGGAAAGGTTGCAGTCATGGTAAAAGAAAGTCTCMTTGTCAGCTCAAGGGTTGAAGGACAGCTGACACATTTTCAAGGAGAAGATGTTCAACAGGTTCCTCCTGAGGTCAGACCAGGCAYAGCTCTGAGGCATGACAGAACTCTCAGCAGCCACAGCACAGCAGGAAAAAGATGCACTTCAGCTCCGTCTGCCTCTCATTTGTCTGAAGCYGGGGGGTCAAATTTATTTTCACTGAGGGCCACATGAGTGTGAAGGTGGCCCTCAAAGAGCCAGTTGTAACTGACTTCAACGCTTCGTGTTTAACTTTAACTAAACAGGAAACATCACGTTCCTCATCTCTGTGCTACAGCTGAGCCCTGCTAACAAACAATGGGCCTCATGCAAGAACCGTTCGTACGCACAGATTTGTTCTTAAATTGTGCGTACGAGTGATTTAGGAGAATTAGTGGCATTCACCAATGTTTTCGTATTCTACGATTTTTTTCAGATACGAACAAAATTCACGAGTGGTCCAGACCTGTCGTATATTTTACCAGCAGTCAGTC